GGAGCTGCATCCTTCAAGAGAGAACGAGAAGAAATTCAAACAAACAAAAGATCCTGAAGATGAACGGTGTGTCCCGCGAGCATGCCTTCCTGAAGTGGAACCGCTCACACCTGACATCCGTGAAACCAGTGCACAAGTTCACAATGTTCGTTGCTGCGCACACTGTTGGGATCTCTAAGAGTCCCAGTTTGAAAGGAACCGTCGCGGATGGTACAGATTCATGCTGTGGTCGTTAGTAAACTGAAGAAGGTATCAAGAAAGAGCCGCATCTTGAGAAGACGCTGCATCCATGATTGCAGTTGGTCCAAACCTTTAAGACGAGCATTCGCGGCCATAAGACGAGATACCCATTTTGAAAATGAAGCGCCCTCCCTCCCTGCAACTGCTGCAAAGCCTGCAACAACGAATGTGCGCCACGCTATGGCGAGAGACTACGTCAGAAAAGGAGCCGCACTCCTGACCTGCAACTTCTGCAAACTGGCACGACGAATTTGCGCAGCGCTGAGGCGAGAGCCGCATGTTGAAAAGGAACCGACAGCGACGAACAGGTACACAGAGGAGGCCAGTCCACAAGAAACCTTCCACAAGAAAACCAACCCTGAAACACCACGAAGTCCATGGATTTTTGGTGTGGGAGCGTCACTCCTGCCATAGCATAGCCATCGAAACCCAAGAAACCCATGGCACCCTGGAGGCAAGCAGGGTGTTCTTGGCATGGGCCCACACTGTAAGACGAGTGTTCGCGGCGCTAAGGCGAGGTGCCCGTTTTGGAAACGAACCGCCCTCCATCCCTGCAACTGCTGCAAAGTCTGCAACAACGAAATTGCGCCACGCGATGGCGAGAGCCTACTCTCGAAAAGGAGACGCACTCCAGCCCTGCAACCTCTGCAAACTGGCACGACGACTGCGCGTGGATCTGCGGTGCGAACAGCATGCGGGAAAGGGACCGAAAGCGACCAACAGGTAAACAGAGGAGGCCAGTCCATAAGAAACCTTCCACGAGAAACCCAACCCTGAGACCCCAGGACGTCCATAGGTTTTTGGTGTGGGAGCGTCACGCCTTCCTTAGCATAGCCATCGAAACCGAAGAAACCCAGGGCACCCTGGAGGCAAGCATGAAGTCGGCCATGTCCCCCTACAGGGGGATGTTGCGCGAAAAACGCCCCAAATGCTCAAACATAGTTTTTTACATCCAAAAAAAAAGTCCCCAGACTATGTTGTAACTATTTTTGAATCTCCCTCCTGTAGAGGGACAGGCCCGACTTAAGGCAAGCAGGGTGTTTCTTGGCGTAGGTCTCCACTGCACGACGGCGACATACCACCCAGCGAGATACCCAACCAGTGCCCCTGGGACGGCAGGCGCGCCGCGCTCTTGGACATCATCATCGCCTGGGGGGTGTCGGGCAAGGAAAAGGGGTCCAGGGACACACAGATAAATACACACGCATTGCATGCTTCCCAAACTTGTTCCATATTTCCTATGCTTTCGTCTCCCCCCCACTTCCTATATTTTCCTATATGCTCCTGGGAATCGACGATTCATTGTGTCTGTGCGTGTCCCCCTCCTGACGAAAACAGTCGACAACCAATTCAAGCAGGCCTGTGCGAGCCTCCTAGGAAGCAGGGCCACCAACAGGGGGTACCGACCCCCTGCGCTACGACGCCGTCGCCCTGGCGGCCTTCCTGGACGGCCAGGGCATCCGACGAGCCGATGCAGCGCAGCTGGGGCCCCGCACTGACAAGGCATCGCCACGCTCCGGCGCCCGAGCAGACAGGCGCCGCCCCAGCCGCGCAAGAACCTGAGCCGCGGGTCGCCAATGATTCCGCGGAGCACTGCCAACCGCGACCCAGGAACGCTCATGTTAGGAGGCAACTACTGGGAGGTCTCCGCCGGAAGGATAAAAGAGGCTTAGGCCCCATCGGGGGGCTGTTACGCCGGAGTGGGCCTCGGATTGAGCGGGACTCAGCGGGACTGAGCGGGATTCAGCCAGATCAAGCGGGATTAAGCGGGATCAAGCCGGACTTCGGACCAGGGCAAAATGAGAACTTGACCTCCCAGGAATTGCATCCGAACTTTGGAGTCCCGAAACGGTGCGGTGACAGACCGTGCGGTGACCTCGACATCCCCCAAGACCTCACCGCACGGTCCGTCAACGCACGGCTTCGGGACCTCGGAGGCCCCTGTCGCCAGAGACATCCTCGGAGAGGGACTCGAGTCCCGTGAGGTCACCCCGAATTAGGGGAACAAAAAATGGCATAAACGTAAAAACTCGGAGGTCCGCGCGGATTTCTCGGATCGGCGCTGGACCCCCCTCCCTGGAGCGCGGAGCGCGCCAGGGGCGGCGCTGGAGGCGCCGCCGGGAGGGCCCCAGCGCCGATCCGAGAAATCCGCGCGGACCTCCGAGTTTTTATGTTTATGCCACTTTTGTTCCCCTAAACTCGAGTCCCGTGCGGTGACCACCCGAATCCCCAACCGACTCACCGCACGGTGTGGTACCGC